ATTTGTATAAATGATAAATAAAAAAGGATCATGTAACAACCCATGATGCAATGAATTTCTTAACTATACCTATTACTTATAATAAAAATGGAATATTAATTACAAATAGAATGAAAATTATGGTGAGGGCGAGTAAATCAAGAAAATATTTCATACCAAGTACCTCGTACGAACCATAGTTAGGATCTGCAAACGGCAAGATACGGTAGAGGCAAATGTGCCGGTCGGATCCAAAAACGCCGTGCAGCACCGCACCGCAAGCTCTGTGGGGATTGACCATTATGGCCTATTCCCACTGCGTTTTCCGCTCCAAGATTCCGCTCAGTACCGGCAAGCGAAATTGGGGTACCCGAGAGCGGACATACGGACAGCCAGTACCGTATTTAAGGGAAATGGAGGTATAGGGAAAAGCGTGTAAAAGAAAAAATGTGTGGGTGACATTCAGCAGACCCGGTCTGTTGTGCTCGAGTCAGACCCCTGCTGGGCCGAGAGCGTCAAGCTTCGGCAGCGGCAAATAAAGCGAGAGGGGAAAAGAACCCGCGGAGAGCGGGAAAGAGACCGAGCAAAGCGGCAAACCTCGAGATCGGAAAACCTCGAGATCTTAACAATCTTCTCGTAGGCGGTTTTTTCATTTACCTTAGTAGGACCTCTATTATGCAGATATGTGGCTATACTTATTGCATTTCCCCAGAGCATCTTTTCATCTTGATTTATTATTGTTCTTACTTCTTCAATTAATGTTCAGTTCAATCCTTTGACTTTACCATGTAATTGAGGCATCTAGGGTGGCGTATAATTTATTGATATTCCTGTACACCATAGTTTCCATTTATTATTATGCATACCAAAGTTTCAATTTATTATTTAGTATTATAAGTATATTCTTTACCATTATTGCTTTTCTTTTCCGTTTTACCTCAGCTAGCACTATAAATTCTTTTACTTTTGCCGAAACATCATCTTTCGATTCCTTCAAGTACATTGTTACAATATTTATACAGGGTGTCCCAGAACTAAAACTACGCCCGAAAATGGGGAGGAGCTAAGGTGATTTTAAAATTAAACAGTATTTTTGTTAGGGATAGGCGGCCCTAACGGGGTTCGGCCGGGAGAACGGGTGTTGAAATAAATCAATCGAATCAGAAATTAAATGAGAACCTGGTTTATTCTAAATCGTTTCCTGGAGGCTCTCTTTTCGTCCAGGATAGCCGGGAATTCACCGCGTCCGGCGGGCCGTCCTCGAGTCCTCCGTTTTCGCGTCTAGCGGCGGCGTCTGCTTCCTCGCTCTTGCCGCCGATGATCACGATCGCTGTGAAAAGACAAAGAAATAAATATGGGCTCAAGTCAATCTCAGAGCCGCACGCTGAATCAACTCAGCAGCGTGCTAAGTGGATTGTATGGTCCGGAGGCTATCCGTACTCCGCTTCGGTCTTCCGAATTACTCCGAAAAGAGACCGGAACCGTAAGCGTTGATTTCTCAACGAACGGTGTTCTGCTGCTATTACTCACCGCCTCGTTGCACTGTGTAAGGGTGGAGGCCTCTGTAGGACCTCAAGTCTCAGCGCTATGCGGAACCGAATTCTATCGGCCGAGCTGAGACCCGTTGAGTGATGAGCTGCAGAAGAATGTGCAGGGTTACCTGACTCAATCACGTCCCGTATTCGGAAACCACACGAATACGGTGGCTGCTCCTTCACGTACGTCTTCTTACTAGACCAAGGAGACAGCCGTCGGTCGAACGTTCGCGGGCACACGAATCCAATCAGTGTATCCTTCGCCGTGCAGATCGCACTCACAAGGTGCTGTATTCACTAACGCTGGAACCGCCGCAGTGTATCCTAAACTGAGATGCTGTGTTCTCCAGTGATTGGGGTCCTCACGGTTGAATGTCCGACGCGTAGTCCACCGGGCAGGTCACACTCGTAATGGTGATGTATTCACCAGCACTTGGGTTCCGCACGGTGGAATACTCGACACGTGAAACTTGAACCGGTATGACTCGTCGATCAAGTTCAATCTTCGGCACTATAACTCCGGCACGGGAAACAAACGCTGATCACTTTTAATCCTCGACACGATACCCTCAACTCGGGAATCCTCGATATGGATACGAATCGACCCCGAATCCGCAGTACTGAGTTAATCGTGCCGCACTTCTTCACACGGGAAGAACCGATACGCGGAACTCCGTGATGTATAAAATCCGAAACAGGAATGATTGATACGCAATCCTCTATCACGGAAACAGTCGTTACGCGGAACTCTTCTATCCGCGGAAACGTCTAAACGGAATTACTCGTGACGAACTCCTCGATCACGGAAATCTCCAAACGGAATGATCGTCTTGCTGAAATCATCCTTCACCTCGGTCGTCGAGAGGTGGGAATCGCGAGGTATCGCTATCTCGCTCGCTCTCAAGTGACACGTCACGCGCGTGTCGTCGTACTCCGTCGCGCTCTGCCCGATTTGAACTTTTTCCGGCCGCGGAGTCTAAACATCGCGACCGTTAAAACGACCGAGCCGGCAAGAAACGCAGCACGTGTATCTATGTTTTTATATTATCGCGGTGACTTTCTCGGAACCTCAATACAGTTCCGAGAATACTATTATTCCGAACGATCAAAATTAAATCGGAGAAGGGATTGGGAAATTAACTTATTCCCTTTTTAAACAATTTTCCTTTGTAAAAGAAACTTGTTCGAAGCGTGGTTATCCAGTTAACGAAAATTCCCAACCAATCTATTTGACTTTTATTATAGTTGATTCTACTTCACCTACGTGATTTATAAAGTTGTTAGTTATTTCATTGAATATGTTGCATCTATTCAGTGAACGTAACTAACGATTAATTGCTTTCTTTTCTCTGATATTTAATCAATTTTTTAGTTGCTCTTGCATGTAACTTCTGTCTTAATCCTACGTTGTCGTCACGATCGTGGCAAACGGGCGCGGCAACGCACGAGGCGGTCATGATCAGGCGGTCACTTTCACTTCACCATTATTAAATTATATTTTGTCTCTTTGTCTACCTATTGCACTTACTGACATCAGGTTCTCCTTAAATTCGGCATGTACAGCACATTTTTTAATACACAATTTTCCATTTCAACTGTCCCTATCTGTTTTGCCATCATCATTTCTTTCTGATTCGCTGTATTGGTTTCTGTATTTACTCCTCTACTATCTTTCAAATTCTGTGCACCATTAGTCATGTGTGATGTCGAGCCTGAATCCACTACCCATTCCTCAGTGGCCAAATTCGTTATAAGAGCTATTTTCGAACATTTTTCTTTTTTAAAGTGTCCTTCTTGGTTTCTAAAAAGTCTTTTTTTGAATGATTAGTCTTACAAGTCTTACAACACTCAAGTTCTATTTTGCAATCTTTTGTCATGTGATCTATTTTATGGCAATTAAAGCATTTATATAGTTCTCTCTTCTGTTGTCCATATTCTTAAATGTGTGTGCTAAATGTCTTTTCTTATCGCGTTTTCGACATTCCTTTTTCTCTGCCTTAAATGCTATCGCTTCTTCATTATCCCTGAAATTTCCAGCTTCTTCAATTAAGAGCTTCGCTGTCGGATTAGTCAATGTTCTTTCAACTGCAGGCAACGATTCCCATGCACTTATAAAATAGCGGTAATTCTCTGGTAACGCTGTTAAAACTTTTGATATCGTCTCATCGATCTCCTCACTTAGGCCCTTGAGTTTGAGAGATAAATTCTTTAGATCTAATATAAAGGTAGCTATATCTGTTGAAGATAGATATTTAAGAAACCATGTATTATATGTATAAGCTAAAATTGTATGTAAGTACGGCCCTGCTCTTATAGCACAACGGAATAGTTTTTCTGTTTGCGGACATGACTCTGTTATGTACAGGAACCGTTAGTATAACTACATTTATCAGTTTTAATGTTTCACTCCTTCGAATACATTCGTTGTACGGTGAATATTATGTAAGCGTACAGAGAACAGAAGTAATGTGATTTATTTTTTTTTCTCCAAAGAATAGTTCTAAGTTTCATTTCTCTTTACTTATATAATTTCGCCCTACGCAAATAAAAGTTATTTTTCATTATAACTTGAGACTCCAAATCATTTTCAATTAATAAATACTAACAATATCAGTCTCGTCTTTCTTTTCGTATTAGAAAAATTCTTACGCTAGATTGTATTTTTGCTGCTGTGAGTGTCTCATAAATACTTTTTAATCTTTGCCACATATCATGCGCATTTTTACATGTAACTATACTTATTAAGGATTGTTTCAAGTAGTATCCATTGTTCTTCTCACCTTCGCATCTTTACTTTTCCACTCTGGAGTTTGCATAATTCCTTTCATTTGCTTAATTTCCACGACGGTTATTCTTGGTTAACTTTTAATTCCTTAGCTTTCAACGAAATTTACATTACTTGTTGTAGCGCACATTTTTACAGTATTCTTATACTTTTTATTTCTTTACTTATTTTTACTTTCTGACTTGTTCCTCTTTATGCCCATTTTCTCACTACACGTGCCTTCTGGGCCCTTAACCTATTGAACAGCTGGTCGCATAGAAACAATTTTTAGACTTCTCTTAGTTTTATGGAGTTCTGTTTATTACTCCTCCTTCACTTGTACACAATATAGTATCGATACGAATCAGAATAAAGTATGAAAATCATGTATTGTATTAACGAGGAAATATATTGAACTTTCGCCTAGTTGAATTTTTACCGGAAGTACGAACAAACAGTCCGCGTGCTGATCCGGTTATGAGCACTATCTAACCACTTAATTCAAATTAAGATTGCCTTATTCTAACAAGAATAAAATAAATAATCCTCAACATGTTTAATGTTTCAGGTGACTTGAAATAACGAGTGACAATCTGGTACGTACGCTTGTATTGCTTTACAATAAGGTAAGTGTCTCAATTTCATTTCACATCACAATTTCTACTGCCTATTTTTCTATAATTCTAATTTTTGCTATTTACGTATTGACAGATCTGAAGAAAATGGCGGATAGAGAAAGATTGTACGGAGAAATGATGTCCGCTGTGCTCGAGAGGGATCTCGATAGATTAAGAGAATTAATTACTACTGTTCAATCATTGAATTGGAATATTAATGAATTACCCGAGATTGAAAATGTTAATAGAACTACATTGTTACACATGGCAGTAGTAATGAGACAGAGGGAGATAGCAGAACTATTAATAACCAACGGAGCTAATGTACATGCTGTAGATAGAAGAAATTATACACCGATGCATGAGGCTGCTCGAAATGACGATTTAGAAATAATGAAACTACTTATGGATAACGGTGCCAACATAGCAAATCTGCCCAAATTATTGTTCATTGCTGTTAAAAGGGCTTCTACAGAATTTGTTAAGCTGGTTTTGCAACACATCGATGTTAATGCAATAGATTCAGATGGTAGCATGGCCATACATTCATGTGTTCGCCGTCGTCCCATTAATTATGAAACCCTTAAGCTTTTGATCGTTAAAGGAGCTAATATTGATGCAAAACATAATCATACAACGGCGCTTAATTTAGCCGCCCGAGTCAGAGACATAAATGCCGTCAAGCTTCTGTTGAACAATAATGCGGATGTTAACTGCAAAGAAGAAGACGGTACGACACCGCTTCATATTTTTGTGTCATTTCAGGAAGTGGAAATTTGTAAACTACTCGTGAAGAAAGGTGCATACTTGAATATCAAGAGCGATACAAGACCACCACCGCTTCATGTTGCTGTTTCGGTAGATAATCTGGATATCATGGAAATTTTGTTACGTGCAGGTGCCAATGTAGATTGCGTTGATGGAGATGGAAACACTGCGCTTCATCTTGCTTCTAACATGCCTCACGACCGTCTCACTGCGACCCTTCTAAGATACTGTTCTGACATCAACATCGTTAACCAAAGGAACTTTACAGCGTTAGAATATGCATTAGAAACTACAAGTCCATCATTTATCGTTCTTTTGCAACACGTAATAGCATTGCAGGTTGCTGAGTTTGATGTTCATGCTTTAAACATAGCTGCGATTACCAAAGCAGAGTTTAGAAATCAACAATATGAGGGAGAATGTAAAAGAGAATTCGAGAGAATGAAAAATGAGAAAATCAACAACACCAACATTAGCTTTTATGATATTCTAATAGCAAACATAAATAAATTCCCGAGAAATGAAGATGTTGTCAACTATTTAACACTAAACAATTGCGAAACGGCGTTCCCTATTTATGGTAGTATGATGAAAACTCGTTTTATATTGGGTGTGGAAAAAAATAAGTTGATAGATGAGAGCATTCTAGCTTGTGAGAAGTTATTCAAGCATCCTGATAAAAGTTTGCCCTTTACTATCTGCGTACAGATATGTGGCTATTTTTGTCGCGAAGAGATGAGGAAACTGGTAAACTTATTTAAAAATGATATGTAAACAATTATGGTAATATTAGGGATCATATGCTGGAGGAGTGTATGATGCAGGTGGAGGAGAGAGAAACGAAAGTAGTGCATGAGAGAGTGATAGAGATTTTGGATGGAAGAGGGGCAGGAATAGGGTGGGTGAAGGAGTGGTTAAGGATTAGAGATGGAGAGGAGGATTAGAACAAGAGGAAAGATATGAATAAGACGATATATAAAGGCGTAGGGTAAAGTATAGAACATAAAACCGAAAAAGATGGCCCAAAATGTATAAAAGGGAGTGAGAGCGGACTGAGAGAGATATGGGGACATTAAAGAATGTATGATAATGATAAAAGGCAAAGAGAGAGAGAGAGAGGACAGTTGACAGAAAAAAAGTGTGATTTTCGAAATAAAGAGAAAGGCAGAATAAGATAAAGGCGAGCGAGAGAGATTGGCAGAAGAGTTTTAAGCGGTGCATACCTATATGTATACGGACGCGAAGGAAGTAGGAATGTAGTAAGGTATTTTTGAGATAATATAAAGTAGATTTAAGGTAGCTTAAAACTGTAATCAGAAAGGGAAACAATTAATAAATCATAATCATCAACAATTGTAATATTCAACTCATGTATAGTAACCTCAAGGGATTTCGGGTCAGCCTTGTAAAGTATATCTACAAAATGTGTACTACGTTCTTGATATACTTCGTTCATATCAAGCGTGATATGTTTTAGGTATACTTTATAGAACTGATCGGAAATCCTTTGAGGTCATTGTACATACTTAATCCTAATAAATGTATACTTTGTACTTCGTTTATTAGATACTTCTGAGATAAGATTCTGCCCTTTACTAATAGACGTTTTACATGACATCGTCTCTTCCTACGAAAACATTCTTTAGACGCTGAGTCATAGTTATAGAAGCGTAACAAATCATACCTAAAAACTTTAGTTTGCAGCTGTTAGTCTAATATTTTACTATCCAAATTTATAATTTTTTATTTATTTTTATACGTATATGACCTTTAACCCTTTCGGTACTACTGCCGCCCGTTGGCGGCATCCACTAAACATTCTCTGAGTCCTACCGTCGCCCATTGGCGGCATCCACTAAACATTCTCTGGGTCCTACCGTCGCCAATTGGCGGCATCCACTAAACATTTTCTGGGTCCTACCGTCGCCAATTGGCGGCATCCTTAGAAAGTTATGTGGGTGCTACCACTGCCGCCTAGTGGCACCCACGTAAAGTATGTGGGTATGATTACTCTCTATAGTACGCATTACTTTACTATTCTGTGTTTAAAATTCCCGGCTTTTCCCGGCTGGAAAACTTCCTCGTCCCACGAATGTATAACCGCGGCCAGCCCCTCCGTACCGAAAGGGTTAAATCTGAAACTGACATTTACGTTCTCTTCGCCAAGATAGTAGATCCTCATTTTAGGATAAAATTCTTTCCAACGGTACGGTTGCGGATTTTTTGGCTTTTCGCGAGTCTCACTGGTAAACGGGCACCGGATAACACTAAATGAACCAATACGTGGTCTTGTGACGAATATTCATTTATTGCTGAGGTCAAGTACCTCGTTGTTACCTTCATACACAATGCACAAGTGACGTAATTACAATACAGATCGTGGTCTTAAACGAATGGAGCGTGAACAGTTGCGATCGATTCGCCGAGTCGTGAAAACCGTGACCTTGCACGCTTTGAATTTATTCATTGGGGTCTCAACCAAAAATCTAATACATCCCGATTGTAGATCTAAGTAAGTTGTTATAGCCCTGGGAAAGGGCTAGATTCCTTGTGTTAACACTCTCAGGAGTGTTAGCGAGTGGCTGGCCAAGGGAAAGTAACGATACACCGTGAGTGTTCAAAATTGGTTTATTTTCTCTATTCGGGCGGCTGGTAGCGACGCGTTGAGACTGTTTAGTTGAACTGACGCAAGAGAACTGTCTCGCACAACTAATGTGATCTGAATCAAGAAACTTCTCCAGAGAACTATTAGACTGAATTATCCTCCGCTCTCCAAACGCATCCGCTATTTATTTGGGTCCTAAGACCCGCCTCCACCCACGCTATCGATCGACGCCGTCGATCGCCGGGAACCGCGTTTTCCCTTTCTATACTCAACCCCGAGGAAATGTCCAATCCCTCGGTCGATAACCGCCCTTTTCTCGAACTCCCACGCCTAGGCGGAGTCCGCACCAATCCCCTTCCTTATAGCATCCCTAAACACTTAGGCCCTAAACATCGCGCCGTCCGCGGCCCGAATTGGACCCCCTGGGCCTCGGCCACAGTGGGCGCCGACGCTGTCAGCAGCCATGTGTTTAGACTCAGTCCTCGAACCCGAGTCGATGCTATTTTCTTTTCAATAAGAGGCCATAAATTGACTTCGATAAGTTCGACAGTTATCGAGTCCAGGTTTGTCCTAAAACAGCTTTCTTATCCCGCATTCCAGACGCTCGCTACCTAGCCGTGTCCGTCGACACATTTGCCGTTGACAAGCTCAGCGCGTTCCCGCATTTACCCAAGCTTCGCTTGTGACGTGGGGAAAACTCTTCTTGAGAAAATCCACGCCAGGAACGGCCGTTACAATAATAAATAAATCTACCCGCGCGTCGTCGACCAAATATATTTACGAACAAAAAAGATACCGACTTAAGACTAGACACGCACAATACGACCGATACTTGGGATACGTGAGCTACGCGAGCCAGCCCCTCCCGGAAACACAAGCGAGCCCCTGCAGACGCAATTTCCCTGCCAGATGTCAAGTGCCTGGCGCACAC